CCCCCCCCCCCCCCCCCCCCCCCCCCCCCCCCCGCCGGCTCCGCATATTCACCCTATATGAGGAATGGAGGTATTTAGTATTGGTCCACAGGTGGCGAAACCCAATGGCAATTAGCCCCGCCGGAAAAGGTACTTTAGAAATTATTAGAAAATACGGTCCTGGCCCATCAGCGGCCGCAAAAACTTCGGCTTTCACCTACTTCGGCTGACTTGAATCGTCCATGTATCATTCTAGCAGTTTCTTCTAGTGGTTGTTTGAGGGCGAACTGGTTGTTTTGATCATGAATCATGAATATTGAATCATGATTATGAAATCATGAATCAGTTGAATAAATCATGAATAAGTGCAAATTTAATATTGAAACCAATGAACGAACGAATCGTAGAGGGACTGGTTGTTGTACTAGCAGAGTAAAGCCTTTGGCGTTACGCGTAAGGGTAGCGTTACTCTCTCTTCATTGAACTTTGCCAGCCAAGGGAGAATGGTCTTTATTGTTGTACTTTCTTGTTTAACTGTAGAGTTTTGCGCGAATGGCTGAGGTTCCTTGTTAACAGTTTATGGTTGTTTCCTGACAGTTCTGGCGGCTAATCTTAATTTGTTTAGCTAAAAGCATTTGCCGAAAAACCGATGCCGGTAGCGACAAAAACTGCAGGCAACTATGCAAAAAAGGCATCTTCGTACGGGCAGCCCGTGCGTTGGCCAATTATTTTTTTTTTTTTTAAATGTCGTTTTGTTGTAATGCATTTTTGACGCTACTTTGAAGTTTAGCGCTACTTTTGGCGCGGCTGCTGTGAAATTTTGCTGCGAATTCGGTTATGCTTGGAAATTTCTCTAAATTACTTCGTTGAACGCAAGGGGATGGCATACTTGGCATTATTGAGTGGAATTTGGCAACTTTACAAAATACTGTTTGTTAAATTTTTCTTCCCTCAAAAAATACTTACCGTGCATTTCCAGGGCAAACTAGTACCATATAATATTTGTTGTGGACCTACAGCCAAAAGATGGATTTCAAGTCAAATGCCCTATCTTCGAGAAGAGGTATTTCATGGTTTTTGTTCTTCAGTCTAAGAGGATGTGTAACATGAAACGCATAAAACGATTATTCGTGATAACCGCATCTTCATATACTTAGTGAACAAACAGGGCATATACATAATATGTTGGGTTAGAACAAATAAATGAGAAAAAAAGTTAAGAAAAATGCAGATATGTTGAAAAACTGAGTGGTGAAGTAATAATTATGAGAAAGCTGACAGTGCAAATGCAGGCACTCAAAACTAGTTTCGAAACGGAGGAAAGAAGATAAATTGATTGATGGGGACAGGTGCACGCTGTGGGGCAGAGATGCACGCTAGGAAATTTCAACACTAGTTTTTGTTCTCAGGTTACAGTTGGAGAAAAGAGAAAAGTTAATCAATGATATGTTATAATAAAAAGGAAATTTTGATATTTTGAATTGATATGTTGATATATTTCAAATTTTAGTGCGTCAAAATTTTGATGTTTTTGATTTGCTGTAAAAAGACTATGGGATTGAAATTTTTTTATCGAGCTATACGGCTGAAATTTTATTATTTTTCCATAGTTATTAATGAAATTTAGCTATTTTTAGGGGAAATTTTGGTAGAATTTTATGGCAAATGAAATGAATTTCTCGCTGTATTTTGCTGTTTCAGGTTGGTGAGGAATGCTATCAAATACAAAGCATGGATAATCCATACGATAAGCTCCTGATCTATGTTTCAGTTAAAAATTTGCCCAAAGTAAGCCGTTTTTTCGAGTTTTTTTTTTTTTTTT